TCATATATGCATACTTAATTCTATTATTACCTTTTCCATTCCAAATGTTCAGTAAGGAGAGAAACAAACACATTAATTCTAGCCTCTTTCATTAATCTCAATTGAAACATCTTTTTGTTTCATTTCAATTATTTCAAATATAATCCTTTAATATTTATTTTAAAAATAAAGATAAACAATATGTGTTTGCCTAATAATAATAATGATGATAATAATAACAATTTTAAAAAGTTACCAATGTCTCTCCTTGCTCTTAATAGTCTATATTAACTTATTAATTTAGTTGGTTCTTTAGTCTGTCATATTCCCTTTCCATTACACATTCTTTTTATAAATTCTAGATTAATACAAATTTTAACACTAAAAAAAAACCAAGTATAGGTTTCCCCCCTTTTACTGTTTTGAGTGTGACACCTCAATGATTAAAATATACCTTTATTCCCTCATCTTGATTCCCAATAAACCATTATTTTTAAGAAGTTACAATAATAATCATTACATCTTTTCATTTGGATTCCACAGCATATTTTCCCCCCTTGATTTTTAATAAGAGCTATCAGTATCTATATTACCCTATTTTCTAAATATTTTTAATTGCAGAAATATTCTTATTACCCCTTGTCACCCTGCAGAATCCCCTTTTTAATTCATCAACCATTATCTCTGAAAAAACAATTTCTTTTCAACATTTTACTATTTCCGTATTACTTTATTTCATGCACCTGTTTCTTATTGCTTCTCCTCCCCCTCTTTTCCCCATATCTTTTCTCATTCCAGTTTATATCCCTCTCTTTCTTAATATCTTCCTTTCCCCCTTTCTGCTGGGTCTTTCTGCCTTTCCTGACTTCACAGGTATTCCCCCTTTTGATTGCCTTCTTAAATTTCAACTTTTTAACTGTTAGGGATATACACCCTAGCAGAACGTGCAACGGTAGTCAGTCAGGCAGGCAGATATGTGAGATAAATGTTGTTGTAGTTTACACTCAGTAAAACAGATACAATGTGCTAGTTAAATAGTTTATTCCAGTAAGATTGTTAGCATAGTCAAACAGTCCATATATCATACACTTAGTTCAGTCCGTCCGGGGATTATCCATTAGCAAAGTCCAGTGTCAAAAAAGAGGTCAGTAAACTTACAAATAATCAGTCCAGTAATATCTCTTTTTGCAGTAGAGATATGAAGAAAATCAAACCTCTTTTCTTCGTTCAGCAATAGCAGGGAAAACACGCAGTTATCACCATCAATCCATCATTGTCAGCAATCCAGTAAAAGCCAGCAAACAGTGAGCTCTCTTGCTTCCTCTTATGGTGATTTTACAACCGCACCCAAAATACATGGTCTGCATTTAAAGTGACACACACAATCATAATCTATATATATTATTTTACCCAAACTAAGTTAGGTAACCATGTTATTCCTAACATTAACCTTCCTTCTTTCCCCACTTCTTTGTAGTGTTCTTTGTGTTAATTGTCTATTTAAAATGTCTTCTCCTTGAATCGGCTCCTCTCCTCTGAAGCTCTTTCTTCTTGTTCTTCAATCGCCATTTCCATTTTTTCTAACACAGAGCAAAGTGATTTGCCTCTTTCCTGTAGTAATTCTCTCATATTTTTAAGTTCCATTTTTAATTCCCAAAGAGATATCATCATTACACACGCTTATATTTTATGATCATTAGAGTCCACAAAAAAAAATCACTTTTACTTTCCTTCTTTCTTCTTTCAATTTTCTAAAGTTCTCAGTTATTCCAGCCGAGGGTCTATACCAAAAACATCAATCAATCCCACAGTCAGTCTTTCCTTGCTTTTTTCTTTATTCTGGTTCTGCTTTCACTTTCTAAGATTCTTACTTTGTTTCAATATTTCTTTAATGTTATATCCACACAAGTTCATTCAGAAACAGGATGTTTTCCCTTTTGTTTGAGCTCAAGTTTTTGTCAAAAGGTGCACTCTCCATTATACCAAGTTTTCACCTTTTCCCCCTATTTTTTTATTTAGGGTTTTTCGAACCTCAATATTCCAGCACAGTCCAGTCCCCAATTTGTAAACTTTATTATTATTATTTTTTGACACTTAAGTCCAGCTTTATTTTATGCCTGTTTATTCCCAAAATATTTTAGTCCAATTTAGTTAAATCTTTAGTTCCAGCTTCTTCCTTTCCTGGTTCGAAGCCCCGCTCAGCTCTAAAAATATTTTCTTTTTTCCCCCCGTCCCTTTGTAATTTCGCCGCTCACTTTTCTCTTAAAAATTCCATATTACCTTAATCCCGGGGTACTTTTGTTTAGTTGTATTGCCCAGTTGTCCCGGTTCAGATGTTATCCACCTCTTTCTTCCCTCCTGCACAAATCTTAATCCAGCTGAGTCCTCCTCTTTGGGGTGGCCATTTTAAACCACCGCTGCAGTCGTCTTCAGGGGGAAAAAGACCAAGCCTGGGGGGGAGATGCGGCTCCCCCCAATCTGGATTGCAGTTTCCCCTTACTCCGCCACCCCTCCAAGTCAGCTTCAGCCCCTAATCGTAACAATCAGCGCTCTCCAATGAAAGAGCACAGACCATAGCCACAGAGAGTCGCAATCTATGGTCCGTCAGTGAGGAGGCTCTGCCTTCTTCCCCTCAAGACATTTTTTAGAGAGAGCAAAAGAGCCATTTGAGGTCTGGACTGACTTTCCCCTAAACATGTTCACTGGGCTCAACACTTTAAACAGTTTAATTTCAATTTAAAATATATCCCAGGGGGAAGAACTTATTGGCGGACACACTGTCAAGAAAACCTCAATTTGACAGCATCAGAGAGGAAGTAGTCTACACAATGATTTCAGAAACCCAAATTGCAGCCCAAGCCACCACTAGGACCCAAGCCAAACATCGAACAGACCCACCTGGGGATAAACTAACCACGGACCTAAAAGCGGAGCTTTTGACAGACACATGGTTCAAAGAAAATAAGAATGACCTAACCTTAAGAGATGGATTAACCTGGAAAGGGTCCAAGCTTTATGTGCCCAACAATTTGAGGCTATTGATACTATGCTGCAGTCATGGTTCTTGACTAGGTAGCCACTTTGGATTTTTAAAAACTCTCCACCTAACCAGAAGGCAGTTTTGGTGGCCAAAAATGAAAGCAGATGTTGAGGATTATATGAAAAGTTGTTCTATCTGTGATACAAGGAAAATGCGACCAGGAAAGTCACCTGGACTACTCCAACAAGTGGCTGAACCCACTAGACCCTGGGAGGAAATTGCCATGGATTTTATAGTTGAACTCCGAGAAAGTGGAGGCAATACAGAAATTTGGACTGTGATTGACTTATTCTCAAAGCAAGCCCATTTCACCGCTTGCTCTGGGTTGCCTTCCACTAAAAAACTAGCTAAAATGTTTGTGAAGCAAATTTACCCCCTTCACGGAATGCCAAAGAGAATAATATCAGACAGAGGCATTCAATTGACTGCTAAATTTTGGAGGGAGTTCTTAAGATTGATTGGATCATCCCAGGGACTTAGCCCGGCTTTTCATCTGGCTATGAACAGAGCCACGGAGAGATTGAATGCTATGGTGGAACAATATCTTAGATGCTATGTGAATTACCAACAAGAAAACTGGACTGATTTATTACCATTTGCTAAAGTAGCTTATAACAATGTGGTATACAGTAGCACAGGACTGACCCCTTTTCAAATCACCAGTGGCATGGAATTTGTTCCCATGCCAGAATTGCCCATAGAGCCCCACTCCTCCATGTCCTTAACAGAATGGATGGAGTCACTAAAGAAAGGCTGGGAAAGTACAAAGAAAGCCCTAACAGAAGCAGCTGAAAAATATAAAAAGCAAGCAGATAAACATAGACCTCCCCAACTTTCCTTTAAAGTGGGAGATTGAGTTTACTTATCAACCAATTACTGTGTAAAAAATTGGGGCCAAAATTCTTGGCATCTTTCCCCATAGTGAAAGTAATAAATCTGGTAACTGTCCAACCTGCCTAGAATATTAGGGAAAATACACTCAGTATTCCATAGTAGCTTATTAAAACCAGCTGTGAGTTCAAGAATGAGACCCCAACATCTGCTCCCCACAAACTAATACAAGGAGAAACTCATTATGAAGTCAATAAAATTTTGGATTCTAGATTGTATAAGAGAAGATTACAGTATTTAGTACATTGGAAGGGATACCTTTGTCTGACGCTACTTGGATAAAAAGTTGAGATGTAAAAGCAGATAGATTAGTGAAAGAGTTTCATGACAAATTTTCTGATAAGCCAAAGGGTCTTCCTGCAGGGGTCGAGTTCCCGGATGTGCCTATATGACTTCTTCAATAAATTATTACTTAGATGAACTTTGTTTCTGAGTGCTGAATGAAATGGGGAGTTTCATTGGAACACTGACAAAAGGGGTGGTTTGAACTGCCAGTTATTTGTGTGATCTTTGTACCATGCCCTGGGTCATCACACCTGTTCTCAAAACAAGCCCACTTCACTGCATGCTCTGGGCTCCCCTCAGTGAAAAAACTGGCCAAGCTGTTCATTGGGCAAATTTATAGGTTGCATGGTGTCCCATGTAGAATTATTTCTGATGGGGGGGTCCAATTCACTGCTAAATTCTGGAGGGAGTTTGCTAGGTCCATTGGATCCTTGCAGGGGCTTTGATCGGCTTTTCACCTGAGTACCAATGGGGCCACGGAATGAGCAAACACAATGGTGGAGCAGTGTTTAAGATGTTATGTCAACTATCAGCAGTCTAATTGGGCAAACTTGCTGGCATTCACTGAAGTGGCAATAATGCTGTTCATAGCAGCACGGGTCTAATCCCTTTCCAGGTCACTAGTGGCATGGAGTTTGTCCCCATGCCCGAGCTCCCTAGGGAACCCCCCTTATCAGTGTCATTAAATGAATGGATGGAGTCTTTGAAGGAAAAATACTAAGCACACTCTGTGGGGAGTGACAAAAACCTATAAAGTGCAAGCAGATGAACACAACAAACCTCAAGAGCCTTTTCAGGTCAGGAGTAGGGTCTACCTTTCGATGAAGTACCTTAGACTTAAACTCCCCTTAAAAAGTTAGGACCTAAGTTCATAGGCTCTTTCCCAATAGAGAAAATAATGAATCCTGTCACTATACAGCTTAAACTCCCTCACCTGTTAAGAAAAATGCATCCGGTCTTTCACAGTAGCTTGTTAAAGCCGGCAGTAGGTTCCCTGATCAGGCCAGTAGATCAGGCAGCTCAGAAACCAATAACCGTACAGGGGGAGACACATTACGAGGTAAAAAGTATTTTAGATTCAAGGCTGCATAGGGGCAGGTTGCGGTACCTTGTACATTGGAAGAGATACCCTCTCTCTGAAGCCACTTGGGTCAAGAACTGGGATGTGAAGGCAGACAGGTTGATTAAGCAGTTTAATGATGAATTCCCTCAAAAGCCCAAAGAGCCTCCGGGGAGGAGGGGAAGTTGAGATGAGCCTTGACTAATTTCCTTTTTATGTTTGTCTTGCAGGAAATCCTCTTCAATTGAGGGGGGCAGCCTGTCAACCCTGAAGCTGACTTGGACAAAACCATCTTGGAGCTTCAATGCTGCCACACTGGAGTGAGGTATCCCTCAATGCTGCCACACTGGAGTGAGGAAGGGAGGATTAGAGATAGCTGGGCTTCTGTAATCAAAATAAAATACCTTCTCTTGGGAACCAAGAATGTTCTCACACCTGGCCAGAAGGAGTGATGTCACCAGACCAGTGGACACTGCAGTGATTGGGCCATGTGACTGATTGTTTGGGGTTGAGGGAAAAAACTTTTACTTTTAATTAGGTGAAAACCAAGGGGCCCCTCAGAGTTGGTTTTCACCAGGTAAGTGCCAATATATTTCCAATAAAGCTGTTCTTTGAGGAATTAACCTGCCTTGCAGTTCTTGCTCACAATGGGTCTATTACTTGGAACCTTGACAGAGGGTGGAGGAGAGGGAAAGAGTAGGCAGCAGAGCAGAGGAGCAATGGAGCTCTGGGGAGGAGCAAAAGCCTCCTCTGCCCACTCTTCGAACACAGAGGGTGGAGAGGAGGCAGGATCAACACAGGGTAAACTGACAGCTCAGAGGGAGGATGCCCCACCCTGCATCACAAGGCTCACCCGGGGAATAAGTCTTAAAGAGATGCTGTGGGGAGGAGCATTGCCTTTTTCGAATCACACTTGCAGTTGTCAACATCTTGTTACCTTGTTTTACTGTGCTTAGTCTTGGTTTGCCTGGGTTCAACTGGCCTGGCTGTGGGCAAGTACACAGCTCTGCTTTGGGTTGTGCTGCAGCCCCAGCGATCACACTGTGCAATGAGGATTCCCTGGGACCAAATTTCCTGAACTTTGTTTACCCTCAGAACTGGCTGCTTCTCTGAACTCACAACAGCCAGGAGCTAATGTAAGTATGTGTGTGTGTGTGTGTGTGTGTGTGTGTGTGTGTGAGAGAGAGAGAGAGAGAGAGAGAGAGAGAGAGAGAGAGAGAGAGAGAGTGTGTTTGGAGCTTTACTCTTGGACTTACAGTGAACTGTGGGAACTTTTTTTGAGGTGGGGGAGTTGGAGCAATAAAAGGGAGTTAAGCCTTCACTCCAGCTATGTTGCTTCCATGCCAGGTCCCGGGTCATCACACATATCTTTCTATTATTCCAAATCATTCTCACTTCCATTTCACCCAAATATTAATGTACAGATTTTATTCTTTATGCTTCTTACATCTGACTTTTTGAGATGAGTTTCTCAGTCTTCGCCATCCCCATTTCAACATACATCTTTTCTCCTGGTCATTTACTTTGGTTTTCAGTCCACATTCATTCAACACCATTCATTCTTGACTCTTACCATTTCATTTTTTGTTACTCACAATTCTTTTTTTGTGTGTGTGTGTGTAAATTTTATTTGAGTTTTCACAAAAAACAAACAAATAAAACATCTTTTTTGAAAGTAGCATAATCCTGGGTTACATTTCTTCGTACAGACACGTTCAATTTCATGCTCATTTTTATGTTCTATTCCATATCTTATTACTGTTTTACATTTTCTACATAGCTTCTCCCCTCTTTTAATTTTCTCAATTTTATTTTAATTATCTCATCTCAATTCAAATCATTATATTTATATATTTTGTCTGTCCTGTTTCAATTTCATATTATCTTTTCTCATTAAACAAAGTTTCTCCTGTAGTTGCTGATTGGAGTATGACACCTTTATATCTTTTAATTTTATCCATTTAACTCTTATTTAAGCTTCAATATATACCTTAAAGTTATAACATTCAATATAATACATAACTTCCATTCGGATTCTGCTTGGTACATTCTTAAAATACACACTATATTCTTAAAAAAAAGATTATAAATATATGTAATTAAAACAACGCATTCCATTCCAATTCAATTCTATCATTAATGTTAATATTCATTAAAATCTTAACTTCTTTAATATTACTTTCCAATTAAAATATCATACTTCTATGGGAACAGTTATAAGCTTTCCATAATTAATTCCCCCCCCCTTCAGTTATATTTTATAAAACATTAACTAATTAAAATGTTCCCGTCCCTTCCTAATTCAATTGTCTCATTTATTTTATTTCATTTATTTTATTAACAAACATTTCACTAGATTACAGTAACTATTTTATCCCTCATTTTAATCATACATTGTTTCCAATTTTCTAAAATTGTTTCTATTACTAATATAACAATACAATCTTATGTACCTTCACAGAATCCTTTTTTCAGTTAAATTTTCACCCATTATCTCTAAATAGGCCCTGTTCCTCTATATCTTGTTTTTGTCCTTTATAACTTATTTTCCTTCTCTTCTTCCCTCTCTTCTTCTCTCTCCCCTTTTTACCCCCTTGTCTCCCTACCTCTGTTACTCTTCTGTGTTCCCCTCTTCTGTTGCTTTCCAATATTATACTTATTTTTTGAACTATTTTTCTTTTCTTTGGTTGTTTTTTTAAGTCTTAAATTCTCCATTCTCTTTCCCCCCTTTCCTTTTTCTTCCCCACATAGAATAACTTGTTCATTAAAGATGGCTTCTTCTTTGTCCCAGTCTTCTTGTTTTGCAGACGTTTCTTGTTGTTTCTCATAGTTCCAAATCTCCATTTCTAAGAATTGAAAAAACGAAGCCAAAAGAACCCCTCCCTTCTTGTGCATCTTCTTTGTACTTTTTAAGTTCCATTTTCAATTCATCCAGAAGTAATGCCATTGTATAAATTTTTAAACAACCACCCAATTAATTTTAGTCATTCAAATGCAATAACCAAGAGTCCAGAGATCACCAAATAATCCAAATACATGCAAGCTGTTTCTTTTTGCTTTTTTTTTCACTTTCTCTTCCTGGGGTTCTACTATTTAGTTGCCAAGTTTCCGTTAAAATGTATCTTTTAGAAGTCTTGTTGAAGTTTTACTGTAGATTCCTTTTAATTCCAGGCAGTCTCCTCCCTTTTTTCCAGATCCTGCCCTTTTATTCTTTTTCTCTCCTTTCCTGCTTATAAATATTTTTTAGTGTCTAGAAATCTTTATTATCCCTTTGACATTTTGTTTTATTTTCAGCTTAATTGCCTGTTGATGTCAAAGCGGATTTTTCCCCCAATTTCTTATTTAAGTCTCTTAGTTGTCAGTATAGGGAAAGGGAGAGAAGAAAAAAAAAAACCTTTCCCTTTTCACTTTCCTTCGCTGCTTCAGAATCTTCTTGTTATTTTTTTTTTTAGTTTAAATTCCAGGGTACCTTAATTGTTGCTTTTGCAATTTAACCCGGTCAGCCCAAACTTTCACTTCTTATCTTCCTCCTGCACATTCTTTTCCAGTTGAGCTCTTCTTTGAGGTGGCCATTTCTGACCACTGCTGCAACCGCCTTCGGGAATAGGAGTAATGGCCAGCTGAGGAGGAGAGATGCGGCTCTCCTCAACCCTGCAGGCAGTCTCCCCCCTCTTCACCACCTCTATGGGGTGGCTTAGCCCCAAAACCAGCCGGCTCGGGGCGCTCCAGCGGCGAGCCCAGACCGAAACTGCACACAATCGCGGATTTCTGTCTGTCACCGAAGAAGCTCAAACTGGAAGCCTACTCACAATTCTTATATATTCTGTTCCACTGCATTCAAATTTCTTTTCTTCTGGTACATTCAACTTTCGGATCCAAAGTGGACTACAGCATGCTATTATGCATAGCCATTTTTCACTTTTAACAATTCCATTCCTTTTAACCATTCTATTCCATTCCTACCCAAAACATTTCTACCACCATTTGCATGTCGTACATTTTCTTCACCCACCTTTCTGTCTTCAGTAAACATTCAATAAAGGTCACTTTAGATAGTGAAATAGGCAGCACATGACTTTAATAAACATAAAGATAAACAAGGTACAAAGATTCAACTATGTGCTCTCGTTTCGTTTGGTCATACTTGTATCATCATCACTAGCATTTCTTGCACATTTATACATTACTTACTTACTTACTTTGCTTCAGTTTTCATATTTGGGTAGGTTCTGTACCTGAAGTGACAGTGCGAATAGATGCCAGAAGAGTTCACCAACGTGTTCGATGGAAAGTTGGGAGAATATAGGGGCACTCCGATATACTTCAGTCTGGACCCCAAAGTGGCACCAATAAGAATGAAACCGAGAAGGGTACCATTTGCATTAAAGCCCAAAGTAGATGAACGTATGCTAGTACAGGGATTTCCTCACTGGTTTCTCTGGTGGGGTTTTTCATTTTATTTGTTTATTTATTTTTATTTGTCAATTGCTTACAAGATAATAGATATAAGTAAAAACATAGTTATGAATACATGGATAGATATAAGAAAAATAAAAAAAATATAAAAGAAACAATAGGACAGGGACGGTAGGCACGTGGGTGCGCTTATGCACGCCCCCTACAGACCTCTTAGGAAAGGGGTGAGGTCAATAGTACACAGTCTAAGGTTAAAGTTTCTGGGGTTTGGGGAAAAAAAACCACAGAATCAGGTGGAGTATTCCAGACATTGACCACTCTGTTGCTGAAGTCGTATTTCCTGCAATCAAGTTTGGTGCGATTAACCTTGAGTTTGTGTCTATTGTTTGCTCTAGTGTTGTTATGGTTGAAGCTGAAGTATTCATTGACAGGAGGACATTGCAATGTATGATTTTATATACTATACTTAGATCGGACCAAAGGTGGTGTACTTCTAGGTTTTCTAGGTCTAGAATTTCGAGTCTGGTGGCATAAGGTATTCTGCAACAAGTAGAGGAGTGGAGAACTCTTCTTGTGAAATATTTCTGGACTTTCTCAACTGTGTTTATATCAGATATGTAATGTGGGTTCCAGACTGATAAGCTGTATTCAAATATTGGTCTAGCAAATGTTTTATATGCGCTAGTTAGTAGTGTGATATTACCGGAGAAAAAGCTACGCAGGATTAGGTTAACAACTCTGAATGCCTTTTTGACTATCTAGTTACAGTGGGCTCTAGAACTTAGATCATTAGAGATGAGTACTTCAAGGTCCTTGACAGAGTTTGGATCATCAACAAGGTCTTGACTATTCAGCTTGTATTTTATTTTCTGCCTTTTTTTGCCAATATGTAAGACAGAGCATTTATTTGTTGAGATTTGAAGTTGCCATTTGTTTGACCATTCTGATACATAGTCGAGGTCTTTTTGAAGGGTAGCAGTATTGTTGGTGTTGTTGAGTAGCTTTACATCATCAGCAAAGAAAACGCAGTTGCTTTTGATATGATCACAGAGGTCATTTATGTAGAGTTTGAAGAGAGTTGGTCCAAGAAGTGGGGAACACCACTGTTGACAAGTACAGAGTTTGATAGGACGCTTCCAATTTTGACCATTTGTTGTCTGTTTGACAGGAATGCTTCTATCCAGTTATGCAGGTGTCCAGAGATAACATAAGATTTTAGTTTTTGGAGTAGTTTGTCATGTACCACTGAATCAAAGGCTTTACAGAAGTCTATGTAAATTGCTTTGCCCTGATCAAGTTGTGTAATCCATATGTTTTTGCAGTGTAAGAGTTGAAGATTACAGGATAGTTTTTTTCTGAAACCAAATTGTTTATTAGAGAGTATGTTGTTTGTCTCTAAGTGGAGGATAATGGATTGGTTAATAATTGATTCCATGACTTTACAGGTGACGCAGCATAAAGAGATTGGTCTGTAATTTTCAACTAGGCTGGGGTCTCCCTTTTTGAAGATGGAGATGACCATGGCTAGTTACCATAGATTTGACAAGGAGCCAGTCGTGAAAGATTTTTCAAAGATTATACTTATAGCAGTGGATAGTTTTTTAAAGAAATAGGCACATATTCCATCTGGTCTGATAGATAGAGGTGGTTTTAGATTGTGTAGTGCCTTTTCAACATTGTCTTCTGTAAATTTGAAATGTATTAGATCATTGTAGTTGTCTGTGGTTCGACTGGGAAATACTGGGCATAATCCATTGCTGTTTACAAATACTGAGCCAAAGAATGTTTTAAAGAGGTTGGCTTTAATGGTGTCATTGTTGCTGTCTTTACCATTAGGTCAGGGGTGGGATGGACCTTGAGTCTTTTAGTTTGTTGTTTACAAAATTGTAGAAAGCGTGGGTGGAATTGGTGCGTAGAAGGTTTTCATCTTGTTTAATGTGATAATTGGTGCATAAATTTTTGTATCAGCTTTTGAAGTTGGTAATGTGACCAGATTTGTTTTTCTGCCAAAGTGATTTTTTTTTTTATTGAAGCTTCCTTATTGTTTTGGGTAATTTGTTTTTTTCTGGTTTTGGGAGTTGTTATTGGTACATATAGTTTGATGACTCTTTTGACTTCAAGTAAAAATATGTTGTAATGGTCTTCAACAGTATTGCATCCAGTGAATAGAAATTGCCAATCAAGAGATGAGAGATTGTTGTCTATAAGATCATAGTTGCCTTTTTTGAAGTTATAATTGGGGATCCTGTCGTTATGATGATTTTTGTGTGGATGTATGTTGAGACAAAAGTAAATCATGTTGTGGTCACTGTTGGAAAAGGGTTCTTTAATTTGTATTCCATAAATTGAATTCAAACTATTACAAAAGATGAGATCGAGGCAGTTGTTAAGCCTAGTATTGTTGGTTACTAGTTGTTCCAGTTCCAGATTTGGTACGGGCATTGTAGAAGGTTGCATGTATGGGTTCAGTTTTACATGCATTTAGGGTCCAGTTAATATGAGGTAGATTGAAGTCACCAAAAAAGTTAAAAATGTGTGGGCAGGATGTTGCCCATTTTAGTAGTGAATTTAACTTATTTACATGTTCAATGTCATAATCAGGAGCTCTGTAACATAGTAAGAACCGAAATGTGACATTTAAGGACAGTTCACAGACAATGGTCTCAGGAAGAGCAAGCTCCTGGGTAACTTGGATGTTTTTTAGATGTAAGGACTTTTTATAGAAGATAGCAACACTGCCTCCTCTACAGATTTCACGATCTGATCGGTAAACATGATAGTCTCTTACTGTGGTAATGGAGTCAGAGAGAGGCAGTACGAACTTTCTGTGCAAAAGGGTTGCCTATTGTGGGGGAATTGGGTAGTGATACCTTCAAAGCTAAGGAAATCATTACTAGAGACTCTACATGAAGGCCACCCCATAAGAATAATAAGAATGAAGGCGTTGGCTTGTAGCTATCTGTAGTGGACGAATATAGATAGAGACATCACTGAGTGGGTAGCGTTGTGCCAAGCATGCCAGGAATCGAGACCAGCACCTCCCTCAGCACCACCATGGGACTGAGAAAGACTGAAAGGCCCCTGGTCTAGAATACACATTGATTTTGTGGGGCCAATAAATGGAATATCCTTTTTAATTGTCGTTGACGCATATTTTAAATGGTGGAGGTAGCCATGATGAGGTCAACTACAACTGATGCCATTGCCAGGGTATTAAACAAAATGTTTGCAACACATGCTGGACATGTTGGTATCGGACAATGGGCCACTGCATTCAAGGTATTCCTAGCAAACCAAGGAATATGCCACGCCCTTGTCATGCCATTTCACTCCATGAGTAATGCACAGGCAGAACGAATGGTGCAGACGACAAAAAAGGCATTGACTCAAATGGGCCCAGGGGACTATCAGGAGAAACTTATAAATATCTGTTCAGCTAACACGTCACTCCTTGTGTAGCTACCAGTGGGAGTCCAGCTGAATTACTCATGGGTTGCTGCTTGAGAACAAATTTAAATACATCCGGATTATTCAACAGAAACCATACAGACTGGGGAAATACAGTCAGAACGTTTGAGCAAGGCGACTGAGTATATTCTTGGAATTACACCGGTCAACCCATATGAATGCCGGCACATATCACAGTAGTCACGGGTCTCCATTCATGTCGGGTGGAGCTTAAGGATGGATGACTGTAGCACCAGGATATTGACCAGCTTTGGAGCCGTGTGATGGGGACAACCGCTAGTGAACTGGAAAAGGTGAACTGGGATGGGGACCCAGAAGAGTGAGAGGGACAACAACGTAACAAAACTGTACCTGAAGGGTTGAGGCCAGCGCAGAATGAAACACCTGCTACTGAGGACCCACTACTGAGGAGTCCACCCC